AGTCGCAATATTTGCTCTGACTCTTGATTCTTTATTGATCACCATTAGTTTCCTCAATAGGCATCCGGTTATCATAGGGCACTGGAATATCATAATCATAAAAGCACTGAAAGCAGTAAAAGAAAAGTAAGGAGAAATTGAGCTACATCAAAATTAACGACTAGAAAGATCATGAACTAACAGTATATCCCAGCTGGTACATGTACCTACTCTCAGAAAGAACATGAAATTCTAAAGAAACCCCCCTGAATCAGGCAAATTTTGCAGTCAAACATATTGTTCAGGCCTTGACTCAAATACTAGTAACATGCTCAAAACAGTCTTGTTTTCTCGACTTAAAAAGTTTTGACACACATGAATTTTGATATCCAACTTATGTCACTTGCATAATCACTGTAGCTCCACAGTAAGTGTACCCTGAGAAACTATTTGTCTGGATTAAAAAGTTTTGACACGCATCATTTTTGAAACCCAACTTGTGTCATTTGCATTGTCCCCATAACTCCACAGTACATGTGCCCTGTGAAACTATGTGTCTAGATTATACCCAAATGTCTCCATCCACATTTGAAAGTACAAATAAGGGAGTCATGCTGATGACATCAATCTACTTGCAGTCCTGAGTAATCTGTCCTTCTCTGGAAATTAGTCCTTCTTTATCTTATCCCATGTCTCAATCTTTCTCATTCGTCAAGTTCTTTGTTAGTCAGGAGGCAAGGCCGTAGGTAATGGCAGCAGGACTGGCAATCCTGATCTGATTCCTGCAGACTGATTTAGATAACTCTGCATTTGTGCTTTGGTTCAGCCTTCTTGCTGAGGGTGAAAATATGGTTTAAAACCCTCCCGTTTGCTCTATAATGTGAAAGCCAAGAACTTGTAGTCTGTACCCTAATGTCTTCTATGCAGTTGTGCATTGCTGGGTATTATGAAGATGAATTATGCGTAACAAGTGCATGTGAATGCAACATTTGTCTAGACCAAATATTCTGTCTCTGCTAATGTGCCATGTCAGCCATCTCATTTAGTGTTTCTACACTACTGTTTGCAAAATTAAGACATAAGCTTTAATAATATTACAAATCCATGATGCCACATTATTAAAAGTGATACGTCTTTCTAAAGATGGTAAAGGAGGAGAGTGAACCGTGGAACAAGTGATATTAAGAATTTTGTAAACCGCTGATTCCTATCAGAGAGCCGGAACTGCCGGTTGTGTGATGGACCGTTTTCCTTATGGCATTGACAACCGGCCCTTTACTGTGCCACAGGCAAGACACGCTTCACCGGTTTGAACGGTTTGAAATATGTCGGCTCGCCTCCGCCAGCCGTCAGTTTCTGCCAGCCGGAGCAGCATGATGCATGGACTGGATACGTATGGAAATCCTCTCTTTCCATCACGGACAGAAATTCTAAGTCTTGTCCAAAGATTTGTGGCTTTAGAAATCCCTGCTTCCCCCTCCCGTCTGTCTGTCTAAGCCCAGTGCTGTGGCAGAGGTGTCGGGTCCTGTCCAGGTGCTGAAATCTGAACTGTTGTTAGGGACATCAGTCAGTGTTGGAAAGCTTACCGCAAGCAGGTTTTAACAAGCAAACCAGGTGATCCATCAACTATTAGTTGTCTTTGGAGGAAAGATTTACTACTAGGGATGCCAAGGTTGGTTCTTGATTAAAAATTACACTGCTGAGAGCTGCCAGCAGAGGATTAAAAGTTTTCTGTAGACATCGTCAGTGTAAGTATGTAACATGTTCATGTTGTTACTGGCAGATTGGAAGATTGATAAGCTGTCGGTAAGATATTAATGGCAAGTTCATTGTACCTGTGCCAGGATGGTTATTTTCCATGCTGATGGTTGTTTTTTTAGCAGTTTCAACCTTTTTATTGCCCTTTACAACAAATCCTCAGACTCTGGACATGCACAAAACTCACAGAACTATTCCTGTTGAAATACCAAAAACAGTATAGCATCACTGTCTCTAGCTACCCGATGAGAACTGCACATACATATTGTACAAACAAAATGTCCTCCATGTCACCCTTTTGTCTCAGAAGATGAAAATCGCAAGTAAATGCCAGAAGATAATTAAATCTGCTAATGGCCTGTGTAAAAACTCTACAATGTTGGTATCTTACGACACAAGATTTTGTCCCAAACATTTAACCCAACCCTGCCAATACCATTTGTGCTTCCAACAATGAAATCAAGGGCAGTAAAACTGCTGCTATAGAAAAGTTGTGTGTGAATTGATCCTGATCCCAGCTCTGTGGTGCCTACAGAAGCCAACCTTAATGAAAGACCTAGAAGTACATCACCCACTCTTACATCATGTCCGTGTGGACTACTTTCTCCTCTTCAGTATGAGGGTAGGAGACTTGGCAATCAGTCTGGACTTGCAGAAGATTTGGCATGGGGAATCTCTGTCTCATCTTGCAGAAAATATGAGGGTTTTCCAAATTAAAGTGTGTTAGGTAGATTAAGAAGATCACGGCTGTCTCTTCTCGTGCCCTTTGTGAGGGCAACTCAATGGCAAAGTTGTGAAAAGCACTCAGATCTCTGCTACCAAGTGTGAAGAATACTGTAGGCATTCTCGGAATAGTGATTAACAGATATCAACTTATCCTGACTCAGGGCTGTTTGCTTGTACCGTTTTTCTTGAGTTTCTGCTCAACTTTAGGTCACTCACAAGTCCCGTTCTCTGTAAGTTTTGTCATGTAAGTCCTGCCCCTTCACTGTTCTTCCCAATGTACCAGTAGTGAAGAGATTGTGTCTTTATTTTGAGGTCAGTAATGGAACAATCTCTAAATGTTTGATTCTGCACCAAGACTGCTGGTAGAAATGCTGAAAATCTGGCCAGTAATAGGCATCCACACACCGATAAGAGATCAATTTGAGATAGTTTCTTTCACCGTGCATAAGAAAGAATGGCATAATCGCACTCTGAATCAGACTGCTATTGGAGATCCATTCTCACCCACAGTATGTGAGAAACAGGGCCCATGTAGGTATTGGATCTCTCCGAACATTACGAAGACCAAAATAGAAGGTAAGATATCGATGTGCCATCCTATCATGGGCTGGTCACATGCAAGGCAGTCTGGTTAAGATGTCTGCAAAGCTTTAAAAAAAACAATACATCCTGCTGTCTGTAGGGGAAGGTATCCACATGGGGGATCCATAATTGGCAACACTCTTGGGATCCTTTTACAATGGCCTGCATGGGGGGGAGGGGGTACCGACAACGCTGTACGTTAAATTTTGAGAGCCGGCCACGTATTACGGATCTGTAGGACAAGGGTTTTAAGATTGCAAACTGTATGCACATGTATGTACATAAAATGTATGTATGTATATGTAAGTAACTTGATGTACATGCAATCAAGTTGCACTTAGTCTTCTTCTGGCAAAATGTTTTTTCATGTCCTAGTATTCAAACATAATAGCATCTCATGAATGGCTCTAATATACCTCAAGGCAACTTCCTGTACTTAAAGGACAGTCTAGTAGACACTCTCCCATACCCTGTCTGCCTTAGCTCATGAATTATGCTTATTCGTGAGTTTTACGATGAAAACTTTGTGTGCAACTAGACAGTAGCGTAACACTTTCCTTGACCTACCTCAAATATTATACAGTCACTGCATTTCCCAAAGTTGTCACAAAGTATACACGCGTGGGTATTAAACCTGAATTTATTGCAGACAAAGTTCCTCCAAATGTTTTAGTTTGGTGTGTTATTCACTGTATCACAAGGTGCAGCATGCGATAAAAATGCAGTAAAAGCAACCTGACATAACTATAAATGTTATCACTTCATCCTGCCGGCACATTTTCACTCCGGGGAGTATATCACATCAAACATGATTAGCCCCATTATGACAGTTACTGCTTCCACTGTTAGAATGGCAAATAGGTGTCAACTGCATTGTGATTGAACATCAGATTCTACTATGTAGCTGTTAATATCACCCCCCCCCAAGACTGATGTAGACAAGAAGAAAAGTGAAACTTTGACACAGTTTTTTTAGAAGTCAGCTCTGTTAAGTTAGGCAGAATGTGGAGCACAATGTGTGTGCTCTGTTAGGGAAAAGTGACAGTTTAAACTAACTTAGTGGTTGACTGAAGCCTAACTAAGCAGACAAACTTTGAAGGTTGAACAGACATGACTTTCTTTCAGTCAATTCTGTTGTCATCGGTCTGCTGTCAGATGATGGTCAAACTTGATTTACTCGTATCTACCCCAAAATGTCATACAAAATTATTCATGGACAGTAGAAGAACTGATTTGACTAGAGGTTTTTGTGTATTCTGGAGTTATTGTCCTTCTAATTCTTCTTTCATCCAATAGTCTTTACATTATATTGTACGGCATGGGCCCCCATGGAAATCAAGTCAGTCTTGCCAGGTTCCCAAGATGTACATAAAATCAAATGAATTTGAAAGTAGGTTGAAAAGGTTGTGAAGGACATGGGCCTTTTAAGGTCAACATCACAGTCTGCATTCAGCAGAACACCGTCAGTTTACAAGTCATTTGGACTTCAGAAAGACTGGCTTTAAAGCAAGTCAAGCTGCACATGCAATATCTACAAGGAAGGCTAGCTTTCTAGGAATACAATCTGACAGGCTATGGGCCTCTTTTCTTATGCATTATGTTGGTATTACTAAGTGGTGTACTGAGTATTAGCTAAGATGTAACTTTTGACATGTTGTTATGGTATGTTATGCCATGGAGGTCTACCTCCATGGTTATGCTAAGACTAAACAACTAAATAAAGTTATCTTTATTTACGTCATAACAACACTATGACTATATGGTTGGTCACAGTCCATGTTTTTACAGTAGTGTGTACAGTGTGTTACATGTACATACTCAGCATGACTCAACACTACCGTATGACTGATGGATAAGGGCATCACAAGTACAAAAAGTGGTTGTATCTTTCAGGAAAGTCCAAAATGTTGCCATCTAGTTTTGATCCCAAGTTTGTTTGTTTTTTTTTCCTTCAGGAGTCTCCTTGTGAGCAAGTTATCCAGCGAGACATCAACAGAACTTTCCCTGCTCACGAGTTCTTCAAGGACACGGGCAGCCTGGGTCAGGAGTCGCTGTACAAGATCAGCAAGGCGTACTCCGTGTTTGATGAGGAGATCGGGTACTGCCAGGGGCTGTCTTTCCTGGCGGCATCACTACTGCTTCATGTGAGTTGCACATCAGTCAATAACACTATTATATATATATAAGGAAAGTAGTTGCTAATCTGATAAAGTATCTCCTTCACATGCTTGCAAAGCGAACTCAAACAGCACGTTATACTATACATGATGTTTAAGGAGAGGGCAGTCTGTGATCAACTAAGTTTTGTATGTCTTATATTGTCTGCTTTCAAACAACATACTGTACATGACTGCTACAGTACTCCCAAGCAGAGTTGCAGGGGCATACTCTCCTTGCAAATTTTTGAAATCTTGACCCTTTGAAACACTGTTTCCTGCATTTTGAAATAAAAATTTTGCTTGTAGAGTCTGTCAATGCGTGTTCACCCAGACTGGGCAAAATTTTTGTTCGTCATGAGTGACAAAATTCAATTCATGAAAAGACAGACATTGACTAGAACACTGCTCCCAAATGAAAAATAATCCAGAATGTGCATGCTGGAAATTTACGAATGGTTTTGAAAGCCATGATGGAGGCCTTGAACTTTATAGCTGGGCCACTAAACTTGAAGAAAGGGAGAAGCTAGATCAAGGGTAACAGAGAGAAAGTATCGAATGGTAATGCACTAAACCTCTGTTTGTCTCAGCTATCTGTTAGCCTGACATGTATAGTACATGTAAGTTACAACTATAGTCTGCTGGAGGCGCCAGTAGAGCTGATAAAGCTGTGTAAGGATGGACTTGAAACAAGCAATATGTCAGGAAAGCACTCAGCAGAGACATTATGGTTGCTGATGGTTTCTGCTAAGTAACTTCTGCCTTCTAACTTGCCAGTGCACCAGTACTGAGTTGGTGCAGTGAGGCACCCTCTGAGTACCTCTAGATAAAAGTGATTTCAAAGTACAATATAGAGCAATATTTCATATATATCACAGAAGTTACTGAATGAGATTATGATAGAACTCTTTTCGCGGAAGTTCATCTGTGGTAGTAGTAATCATGATAGTGCAATGCTGAACTTTATTCCAACACAAGGGTACACAGAAGATCAAATTCAAGAACCAATCATCAGGATAAGTCACAATGACCAATCACTTCTGAGTGTGAATCCACGAGTGGCACATTTGACCAATTGCTAATGTCACATATCCATCAAGGTCATGTGTTCATAACTCTTGGAGATTTATGTTTGAAAGTGATTGGTCATTACTAATCCTGATGAAGGCAGTCGTCATTGCTAATCCTGATGAAGGCGACAGTGGCCATTGAAAATTTGATCCCAATGTACCCTGGTGTGGGAATAAAGTTCAGCATGGTACTATGAAATGTTTTCTCCCAGATGCCGGAGGAGCAGGCCTTCTGTGTGCTGGTGAAGGCCATGTTTGACTACAACCTGAGGGACCTGTTCAAGGAAGACTTCAAGGAGCTGCACATGAGGTTCTACGTGCTGGAGAGATTGATAGAGGTATGGAGAAATATTGTAGTTTTCTTTTTCAAAGCTTCAAAGAGCAGCCTAGCAGGTATCATGAGAACTGCAACACAGTTTGTGAGACTGAATAAAAAGACTCTTTACACATCCAGCTGATGTTTCGGTGACCGTCTGTCACCTTCCTCAGGGCAATTATGACTGATTCACATTGCATAGCACAGGTGTCGCTGCTATGGATACATTCCCGAACGCAAAGTACTCGGTTACAGGGAACTGAATCTACAATGCTGTAGTCATGCTACATTAGAAGTAGCCTTTATAGTATTATTTTATGGTCATTTTTACTGTTTACTAAATATTATTTATGATTTCCAATGTTCTTGAATTTAGCCCTTGGGCATGAATTTGCAATAAACTTTGTGGTGATTAATGTTTACTTATTGAGGGATGTCTCTCTCTCACAGGACTACCTCCCGGATCTGAACCAGCACTTTTTGAACATGAACATTGAGTCCCACATGTACGCATCTCAGTGGTTCCTCACACTCTTCACTGCCAAGTTTCCTCTCTACATGGTCTTCCGCATCATCGACATCTTTCTCAGTGAGGTAGGTCTCGTCCTTTTTGTCAAGTGGCTGTCTTCATCAGTAGCTAAGGAAAGATGGTGGATGCCGTCTGAAAGCTTCAATGCTTTTACTGTTACAGTTAAAAATCTGGTGAAACAATTTAGAGCCTTCCTATTATACTAAACCTTTACTGTTTCTATTGAAATGTGATTTGAGCTGATTCTACAGTCAATGAAATTCCACTGTCCTGTAGGGACAGGGAAATTTGGTTTCTTGTCTTTGGCATTTTTTCTATATTTGAGCTTCTCTCTGTAATTATTTGTATCACACTTTTATTTTTGACCTAGGTGTCATGGTAATTGGCCTCGAATTTTGTCCTTTTTTTTATACAGGGATTTTGGTTATAGATGACACACACAGTTGATAGAGAAAGTCTAGGGGCTTTAGCCACTGAACCTAGGTGTCATGAAATTTGCCTAGAATTTGTCCCTTTCTTTACGTAGTCTTTGGTTACAGTTGACAGACACAGTTGATAAAGAGTGAAATAATTCAGACACTGCTTTCCAGGGTATTGACGTGACCTACAACATTGCGCTGGCCCTGCTGAAGACGTCCAGGAAGGACCTGTTGGCGCTGGACTTCGAGGGCGTGCTGAAGTACTTCCGTGTGCAGCTGCCCAAACTGTACCGCTCGGAGCAGAACGCACAGCAGCTGCTCAGGCTAGCCTGCTCCATGAAGGTGGGCTTAAACTTTGTTCTATCCCTGTCTCTGTCCTTAGTGCTGAAGGACTTTCCCAGTCCTTAGTGATCTACTCATTTATGACAATTACATGTACAGTGTAGATGATGCTTTGGTTGATTTGTTTAATCATTCAAAATAAAATGTTTTCCTCAGATTAACCAGAAGAAGCTGAAGAAGCATGAGAAGGACTACTACACCCTGAAGGAGCAGGAGATGCAGCAGGAGGACCCAGTGGAGAGACTGCAGGTAAACACTACCACAGAAGAACACAACAAGTATGATTTTAAAAAAAACAAAAAAACACTGGCGACATTTGGTTGTGTTTGACTGTATGGTTTTTTTTTCCAAACATAAAATTCACATTACAGTATTCATAAAGGTAATTCAATACCACAAACGGTATTCATGGACCAATGCAAAACCTTGACATCAATCTGTTTTTCTCACTGTTATTCAGAGAGAAAACAAGCGGCTGATGGAGGGGAACATGCGGCTGGAACAGGAAAATGATGACCTCGCCTACGAGCTGGTTACCAGCAAGATCTCCCTTAGAAAGGACCTGGATGCGGTGAGTGCAGTTTGTGACAGACTTTGCCCTTCAATTTGTGTCTCTGTACCCTTTTCTTACTGATGAAGGACACTTCCTGTCACTGTCCCTAGTGCTGAAGGACTTCCCTGTCCTTAGTGCTAAAGCACCTTCCCTGTCCTTAGTGCTGAAGGACTTCCCTGTCATATATTGCTGAATTATGATATGTCTTCTATCTTAAAAATCAAAAGACCAATACAAAAATTGAAAAGATCATTTAGATCAGTGTCTCTATTATTTCACAGTCAGAAGACAAGGCTGACACCCTGAACAAGGAGCTGCTGGCGACCAAACAGATGCTGGTGGATGCTGAGGAGGAGAAGAAACGACTTGAAGTGGAGTCTACTCAGGTTTGAAATTGTTTACGGAAACTCATTTCTCAGATACATTTTTTACAGTATTTGTATTTTAGGATATGTTAAAGGATTGTTTGTTTGTTATACTCAAAAGTAGTTGATTGTATACCTCATAAGACCATACAATTTGACATTATGACATTTGATACTGCTTTAGGAGACTGTCTCTGGAGACCCCAAGTCAACAGTGTGAATGAAAACAAACTAAGCTTGTTGCTTTATCTTAATTATACTTGATCTGTGATTGGTTTACCCAGCTGAAGGACATGTGTAGGAGAGAGCTGGAGCGAACAGAGAAGGAGATCAACAGAAATGCTACAATCATCGCAGACTACAAGCAGGTAGGCCAAATTCCTCTGTAGATTAAAGTAAAAAAGTACAATGTAAAAGTCTCTTAGTCTTTTTGAGTGGTAGTGGTTAATCCATTATGTTATATCAGTGCAAGACCCTCTGTAGAGTGGCAAGGGTTAAACCCTTTTGTGTTGCCCCCCTCCCCTCCCCCAGATCTGTACCCAGCTAAGTGAGAGGCTGGAGCATCAGCAGACTGCTGCCAAGGAGGAGCTGGCAAGAATAAAGGTCAGGATGCATTTCTCTAACTTTGGTATAAAAGGTAGCAAACTTACAGTCCTTTACTTTGAGGACTTGCCATAGGATTTTTAGTAATAGATTTACTACAGGGAAGAAATTTAATCTTTGAGTTTTTTTTTTCAAAAGTATATGATAGTCAGGCATGTCCTTGTTATTCATTAATCCATACTAATTTAGTGTCTTTGTCTGTCAGGGCCAAGTGAAGACATGTGACAAGTGCTGCAAGCTGTTCACCGAGAACGGAGACGTCAAGATAGAAGCCTTACCAGAGACACCAGATGGCACAGAGAGTGAGTGACCTACTTTAATGACATACATGTATTTTTACATGGACTTGTATGTGGCAAAGATATCGCCATAATCACAGTGTACTAATCTTAGATTGGTATGAACATCTTGGTACAGTTATATGTCAGTAAAGACACAGTCAGATGGTAGGCTGACACAGTTGTGTATGTGTTGTACAAAATTCAATGAAAGAAAATGTAGTACTAGTGTATCTTTATCAAGCCTGTAGATAGCACACTTCTGTCACAGCCTTGGTAAAGCTTATTAATCTGCTGACACATAAAGAACAAACCTCGGTGAAGGAAAGTCATGCAGCACTAAGGACAGGGACATGGAACGTCCTTCAGCACTAATAACACAATGTTCTGTTGACAGATCCAGATGTTCAGGCAGTGAAGAAGCAGCTGCGAGAAATGGAGCTGGAGCTGGCACAGACCAAACTGCAGCTGGTGGAGGCGGAGTGTAAGAACCAGGACCTGGAGCACCAACTCAACGCCGCTCTGTCAGAGATACAGGTACTTTGATGTGACTTGCATACATGCATATACATGTATACAAGAGTCTCATGCCAAAATTTCTTTTTAGCTGCAGATGGTTACTGTATGGTAACCTGTTCCACGTGGATATGGATCAGTCTGTACTTGAAAGTCTTTTTCATGGCATTTTTATTGTGTTGTGACAGTCCCTATTGTTCAACTTTCCTACTTTCCAGGCCTCCAGAAACAGCTGGTTCCAGAAGACCCTCACATCGATCAAGGAAGTGACAAAGAAGGATTCTTCTTCCTCCCCAAGGACGCCCACATCAACTACAGCACCCAAAACTCCAACATTATAGTAGAGGATGAAATCAAACTTTTACCACATCAACAACAACCTACAAATGTTCAAACATCAAATGGTCATGTTAAACATTTGTAGGATACCATCAAAAGAGGAAACATTTGTATTCACAGTAAATTTCCATAACTTTAGGTACCTTCAAATCATAATGTTTATTGTGATTTGAAGGTAAAACAGTTACTTCAATTTTTTGTCATTGTAGTTTCCTGCCTTTTCAACATAATATTATGTAACAACAATAATCATCATAATTCGGCCACACCAATTTAATTTGTTGGTTCTCGGATTCGCCTCTTCGTTTTTTTTCTGATTTGCAAAAAAAAAAAAATTTGATTCTGAATGAACTGAAAAATGCTCATGTTTTGCCCCCAACAGTTGAGGAAAGTCCTTTTCTTCCTAGTTGTTACAGTTTCCCCATCTATCATTGCAGTGGTTTGATTAACAGTTCAAAATTCAATGTTTAAATTTTTACCCAGCCTTTTGTGTTGACTTCATGGCTCATTTTGTAGCATTTAAGCCTATAACAGGATGCCTAGACCTGTTTTTATTTTTATTTTTTTCGCCCTGTCGCTTCATATTTTTTCTGAAAAAATCCGAGAACCAACAGATTAAATTGGTGTGGCCTTAACAGTTGCACCTTGATAATAACAGTTACCAACAGAATCCTGAAGAAAACCTCCACAGTACTCCTTTAACAGGAGAAAAAGAATGCACGGCCAATTGTCTGGCCAGTAGTCTGGAGCTTGTATGAAACTGTATCACTACTATCTGTCAAAATGTATTAACCAGGTTTTGAATGCTGACATGTTGTAACTACAGTACTGTACTTCAAGTTGAGATGTGGCTTAAAGTTAGTTCTAAACAGGATTGAAAAGTCATTTGAAGTATACCCTGATCAATGCCAATGGTATCTTAGATGTAAATTGAAAATATGAAATAAGCTTGATATTAGAATGTTGCCACTTTGTTGTGTTTGGTAGGAGAAGTGTTATGATACCAGCACGCCCTTGTAAATAGATATATGAATTAGAGGATAATATTAGTGCAATGGAATATAAGGGAACTATACCAATCATCAACTTTTGGTATGAAGAAAGGTATGAAAAATTGCTAATCATTTGGCAAAGCACCACAACATATTTATGCTCTCTTTCGGTCATTATTTGTGTTATTGTTTCTGCAGATTCTGAAGCAAAATCGATGATTGCGTGCAGTTGTGTGTTATGGTGAATACTATGCCAGCATTGGGTCAATCACCAGTACAGTGAGCAAGTATTACGGATGTCAGTTTTGCCCTTTGTTTACTACACTATAGATAATGCTGAATATCACTTGTGAATCACTTTTAAAACATGTACTAGATACATGTAGTTACACCACAGGCAAGTTGAATTCAGCACATTGTAGTTGAGTTGTTTTAGACTAGAAGAAACTCCAGAGGTGATGACCATATTGCACTGAGAGGATAGAAATGCCATCCTCACTCACACAGTGACTACATATGTTTTGTAAATAGCCAAAGAGCTTTGTAACTGAGAAATGTGATCATAGTGGTTATGATAACTGTCTGATATGTAGATCTGATGTTCTTCTTTTGATAGATTTTTTGTCTTCCAAGACACAAATTTTGCCATGCAATTGAAAATTCTGACTGCATGTTGATCTAGTTATCCAAGCTTCACAGTCTTGGAGCTCATGTTGTTCTGTCCCTTCCCTTGGTCCCCTTCAGAGGTTACCTTCCCATGATGCTCTCAATGTGAAAATGGCACAGCCAATGAGAGAGAGGAAGGGAGGACCTTGAAATGCAAATGCACAAGTGTAGAGTTGGATTATATTGAATGTGTTGTTCTTATGTGACACTGTGTACTCAAGATGAGTCCTAGGAGAAAGGTCAACATTATAGGCCTGGGTTTCACTTTAACATACACTGTACAGTGTACAGTGGTGCTAGACCACCAGACCATTCAGTAGCTTCATTATTACTGATGGAAGAGGCTTTCAAATTGTCAAATACAACAAAATATATGATGTGCCCTAATAATTGTGTTCAAAGATATCATCTTATGACAATAAAGTCAGTATCAACAAAAATCAATTTGAAAGTATCTTATGGCATTCAAAGAATAAAATACACAATATCTATAAGGAGTGAATCACTAGTTCTTATATTTGGGCAACTTAATACTAAGATTATACAGCATTCTTTTGCCTGCCAAATTCTGCTGCGTCATTATGGATGTTTAAAGCAAAATGTGAAAAATGTGTTACATGTCTTGACATATTTTTCTTCCAATGTTGAAGTTAGAGTTAAGTTACTTTAAAAAAAGGGGGTTTCACCGGCCTGCATTTATCTCAAGATGTTTGAAAGGATAATGATAGAAGTACAGGGTGTCTTGTGAAACGTTTCCTACCCTTAATTAAAGCATCTTCAATATTCAAACCATAGTTGCGCACTACGGAATTTGGTGCTGGATGTATGGATATCTCAACATTTTGCTTTTGTTTGATTGTTATATTTGTGCTTTACCACAAATTATCATGAAGTTAGCTAACCTCCACTGTCCTAACAGTTGATAATCTTGCTGTAGAATAAACAATCATGCATCCCGGGATCCTCTGGCTGGTGTAGATAGAAGAGAGAATTGATTCAGGCAAAATGTACGTTACAGGTGCCTCATAAAGGGACATATCTGTTGGCAGAACTTTCGTCTTTATGATAGCAAAATATAACCTGTAGTGCACAATAAGCTGGCTACAGTAAAAGTTGTTTCAGTTAAATATGTTCTTGTTGAGTTATATGTGCATTTGTCCCCTTACTGGGTACATAAATTATGGTACATAGTTTTGCCTCTTTTCGATATTCTTCTCAATAGATTTCATATCTTGACGTGTTTCTCAAGCCTATACCTTCGTTTAACTTGACACAGAAATGGAAAATAGTCTGGTACACTATTCATGTCAGATGTTTTTATTACCGATAGTCAACAATGCCTCAGGGACTCAGTCTGTAGCAGCATTTTCTATTGAGATTTCCTCAACATTTGTGCATGAGGTAAGAAATATCTATAAGTTTACTTTGATATGGCATTACCCCCAAGATGCATTATTAGGTCAAAATCCATTTATAGTTATTTTTTATTAACTAACTCCACATTTTATCCTGTTGGCTATTCTCTGATGATACACAATGATATGTGTTTTTGATGGACACCATGCCTAATGTTGGGGCTACAAATGAATACTGCATAATAATGATGGCTTGTTATAACCTGAGTGTTCAGGTCTAATGGTTATCAAAAAAAAGGAAGACAAATTTTTTACCATCCAAAATGCACACATTGAAATACACATCAAAGCAAAGAATTACCCAGCATAAAGTGTAAACGATCTCCCAGTTCCGGTAAAATACCCTGACCCCTACTGTTAGTGACAGTTCTAAATGTTACATTTTAGAATGTCCGTTAACATAAAAAAAATGCAACAGCAAAAACAAACATTCAAGACACCCACTGTGACAGAACTGTACTGTCATCACGTAAATTAAATAAACTCACACACGTCACCCCATTTAATGTACAATGTCCTCAGTAAAAAGCAGCAACATTTCCAAGAAAGCAGCAATGCTCTTTAAATTCTGACACACATTTCAATACATACATGTATATACAGATAAGATCTTCATATTCTTTGGAGTTAGATTGTCATATCTCCAACAGAAACATCCTGAGTCAATTAAAAAGCATTTGGCATATGTTCTGGTGTACTGTAACACCTTTTGTCAGAGATCACACCTGTGTAGCTACAGTTTGACTTTGGTTCAAGTTTGAGTTCAAGGTCAGCATTCTCCCCTCCATCATTTGGTGCCGGATGCTGCTGTCGGGCGACCGTGCGACACTGCCCACCGGGGGGAGGGGGGGAGACTTGCTCTCAGGAACATCAAAGCTCGGCGATCCTGTCTGTGGGAGGGGGTAGAACGCCTGAACTGTCGCCGTTCTCTGTTTCAGCTGCGCAACGCGAACGCGAGCCTCCATGAGTCTGTTGTTGGCGTCTTGTAACATTTTCGAGTCCAGGACGCTGCGTTCTGTGGAGACCTCAGCCTGTCGCATCAGCTGTCTGTGCTCCAGGTATCTCCGAACAAGCTCCTTCTGCTCCTGGGACTGCTCACGAGTTTGTCGGTATTTGTCCTTCCGCTCGCTGGAGTCATCTTCCTTGCGCGTTTGGCGATCGTGACGCAACAAGGCATTTGAGACAGATGTGTGTTGACTGCTAAAGTCTGCCATGAAGGCTAAGTCTGCAAAGCGTGCTTTTGTCCTCTCAAACGCCTTCCCTCTTGTCTCGTATCGCTTCTCTATGTAGTTGATATGTTTGAGCTCATGCTTTTCCAGAGCTTCAGACACCTCCACACCGTCTTTTTCCCGTTTCCTCAGTGCATTGTTCCTTTTCTGGTGCATGAACCCTTGGACCCGATTTTTTGCCTGCTCTCTTTGGTCCTTTATTGCCATAACCTGTTCCATCTTTTCTGCAATCTGTGCTGCCCGTTTCCTGTCCTTGTACGCTTGCTGCACGGCTTTGAAACACGTCATACCCATGGTTCCTTGGGCCTTTGAAAACAGTCTCTGGTCCAGCGTGACCACCTGTTTGGGGGGAAGTTTTGGCTGTGGCTGACTGGCCAGGTACTCCCTGTGCACCCTCTCCGCAGACCGAATGTCCTCAGCCCCCTCCCGCTTTGCGATCAGCATTTCCTGCACGGCATCCGCCGCGTGTAGCATGGGTTTCAGCCCGGACAGTCGGAACTGGACCTGGACCTCGCTCTCCTCCACGGGAGTCTCCACGATCGGCTTCTGGTCCAAGTCCCGTTGTGGCCCCAGCAGCTGCTGCACAGTCTTGTAAACCTGTAGGGTATACAGAAGGAGAGACTATTGAACACGTCTGTACTCTGTGGCTGCCTGCTAGAACGGTCTTGTCAGACACCATGGTCTGACTGCTTTAGCTAAAGGAGAGCCTATTTAAGATGTCTGTACTCGGTGACTGCCTGCTAGAACTGTCTTGTCAGACAATGTGGTGTAACTACTTTATAGAGGTTTAACCAGTTACAAATGTGGACTGCGTGGTGACAGTTATGACAACTTCCTGTCACAGGTGACGGTCTTCTAAGAACACATTGCTACACACCTTCCGCTGCTTCTTCTGCTCCGACTTCGCCCGACGGTCTCTCCCCGAACGCTGGCCCTCGGACGGTGGTCCTAAACTGGACGGCCCGCTCTCCAGCCGCTTGACGATCTCGATGGTGATGGCTTCGTTTTGGTCCAGTGTCTGCAGCATGCCTTCCTGCAGCTTGTTCAGGTTGATGTGCAGGTTGCGGCGAGGGAAGGAACCGTCACCGGTGGGCGTGGCAGCAGGCGTGATGGGGGTCGGAACCGGGGGAGGCAGAGCTTTCTGTGGAGAGAACTCTTCTCTGTCCTGTGTGAAAAGAACAGGTAAGGTTCTTCAGTATTTGTTGTGTACTTTGTGTACGAGTATTGTGCACGGTGGTGGCAATTTCCTAGACAAAAAAGTCTGACTTGATCCAGCACCAAAAAAAAATAATCAATTTATCATTGGCTATCATTGATTAACTGTGCTTTTAGTCCTGGAACTTTGATACAATCCACATTAATTTGTAAAAAAATCATGTCAGAAACACTGAATAGGGCAGAACTTGATTTTGAGGATATTGTGGGTATGATGTATGAAAATCATTCTCACCATAGCAGACAGTCTCATCATGTCGTCCACCTTCCCCTCCATGACTGCCTGTTTCTCAGACACGACGCTGGGTGACTGCGGGCGGGAGCCGGGGCGCCGGTTCTGCATGTACGTGTCGTAGTCCAGACCCACGTTGGAGGTGGTGGAGCGGGCCGTCTGCGGGATCGGGGACGTAGGGGGCGGCGGTGTCGCCTCTTTCTGGGCCTCGGGCTTCTTAGGGGTAGGCCTAGAGATAGAGGAAATCAACATTAACATGGATATCAAAATTCTGCCTGCATATAGGCAGCCTAAAGGCACCAAATGTTGGTCGATAATTGGCAGAGTGGTTTATAGGATGATTACTCCATTACAACAAGTATTGTTACACCACCTGATGTTGTTTCTACCAGTATGACTTATGTAGTTTCATCTTGTGTACTATGATCAAATCTTACACTCAGCAAATACATTTTGTCACAAGTTGTACAGTGTAAAATATGCCAAGTTATCTTGTATCAGTGGACGAAAGAGGATATTTTCTAGTCTGGGTGCCATCCTCTGTAGTTTCTGCTGGCTCCCTAAAGTCACAGAAGTAGCCAGTGACATTAGGGAGTGAGCAGACACTATGGAGGATGGCACCCAGGCTACAAAATGCAATGTATCCTCATTCACCTATAGATATTTGAAATGAGAAAAAAAACTGACCTCCGCTGCTGTCCTCTCATCCTGGCGACCGTCTGCCTCCCCAGGTGACCCCTGACCCAGCGCTGGATGACCAGGACGGGAGAACAGTGCGCCAGCAGCACGTTGATTGCCTGCAGAAGGTCATTCACGTCCTCCAGCTCCTCCTCCAAGGTCGCGTCTCGCCGCGTGTTCGGGCCCACGTTGATGAACAGCGAGGGGTGTAAGGTACAGAACCTGCCACCGAAGTTAGAATCCTCAATAATCTCTTCATCAGAGATGAGGTAGTTATCTAGCACCTGTGGACAGAAGGAAAAACAATCTTTATCATACAATACCTTAATTTGTATCTTTTATAAGAAAAAACAAGATGACAATTCTATCCTAAACCCAGGAAGTCTGATAACCTTTCACATGTTTCAAACTTTGTATCAAAATTGCCAACTTCGAGGCAACATTTTATCCTATATCACTATTTTCAGAGGAAACCTACATTTTGAATGAAAACTAGTGGGGGACAGAAACCTCATTCCTTCTTTTCCACGCCTGGGTTTACCCATCTGCAAGTCATGACGATACAGTCCTTCTCAAAGAAAGTAATAAAAACGTACCTTGAGTGACCAGATGGTGTTGACAACATGATGTCTGTAGCTGGCTCGGAGGCTGAGGGGAGTGTCGTACATGGTGAGGACCACCAGGCTGGGACAGCTGCCCAGGTTGTGCAGACAGTCCAGCCGCCCGATGGGGTTGTCGTGGAGGAACAGGACTTTTAGTCGCTCCATCCCCTCCCAGAACTGGGCAGACGGCAGCACCGACACCTGAAACAGAGCAACGAACTTAGCTGAGATGGCTAAGACTACAGTACTATTATAACAGACTTTGTGTTCATGGTACATGCACATATAGTAAAAGTGCACAGTCTGAGAAAAATGGTGTTCACAGTGGCAGCAGGTGCCAGAAAACAAGTCTGCAATTGATTTGTCAGTGTTAATGATAAGTTCGCAGTACAGAAGTGTGTGAAAAACGTGAACATAAAAGTACCATGAAAAATCTGGAATTACTGCTACAGTATGATGTCATGAAGGTGGCAGTAGTACATGTACACAGGAGAAAGTAATTATTACAGTGTAAACTCTACACCATTCTCTCGGAAAAATGTTGCGATCACTTATAGTGCTTTATGTTTTTCTTAACATCCCTGTAATTCTATCAGCAGAAACAACTACATTAGCAGAGCAAGCGTCAAAGCTTTTGACAATGGATGTTGTTAGCATTGGAAGCAGGTGCATGCAAGCAAAAAATCTTTTAAAGGGCAAAAGTGTGGAAATGAAAGTGACATTGCCCTGAACAGCAAACTCAACAAAGAAGGCAAATTCATGGAATATTACAAGTTACTGTTTTAGCTCGCAATTTTCACTGCACTTGATAAATATACATGTAATGATATGCAAATATTGGCACTTATTCAATGTGTAGTTGAGCACAGCACAGAAACAACATGGGGGTCCCCTACACCCTCATTAAAGACTCATTCATCTACATCTAAAGCTGTGAGGTATGCATCTAAGCTGCCAGTCAATATTGATTTAAATCCTCTGTTCTTCTCTTTATTTGCTGCTACAGCACAGGGCTTACAAGATTGTAACAAACAAAGCCAATGGTGGAAAGACTTTGAGCTTGTGTGTTTCCGAATGGAATAACGTATTGTACTCAGCTTTGACATTGACTTAACTGTTGGACGACAATGTGTTCTGGCCTACATGTACATGTATGTCTGCAAAAACAGCTAAAAAAAGCTTTAGATTAATTTTTTAAGCAGCCAGGGATTTTTAAAACTAAGGAGACGGAGAAACCTGATCTGGGTCTTCTATCAGTTGGAGAGATTGGCCCATCCTACATTGAATTTTAGAGTATGGCGTAGTTTAATGCTATAGCCTTACAATATCCTATCTACAATACCAGTATTTTGTATGAAGGCAATTCTTGAAAAGTTTATAAAAGACCACGGTACACACCTGGTTGCTATGGAGGTCTAGCTTGACGAGCATGGTGCAGGCAGCCAGGGCGTCGAACCGTGTGATGTAGTTGTTACTGAGGATGCAGACCTGCAGTCGTGTGCAGGACTGGATGTACCCGATGTTCCGCAGATGTGCCTGCGTCATGCGCACGATCTGGATATCATAGATCTTCTGGCGATCTGTGGAATCATAGACAAAAACACCATGCTTGAAATTTGAGGCAAATGGTTGGTTAACAGAAGATTACGCTTGAAAAAGGTAGAACATAAGATAAGGAGAAATCACAGTAACTGCAACAAGCGCAGTAGTTTAACCTTGATCTTTAACCTTGGATGCATGGATTGGATACCCTTATCAAAATAAACAGTTTTTAGCCTCACCTTCTCTGCTCTGGGACTGTGACTTTCCGAGGCACTGCTCCAACACGAATGATTTACTTGGAGACAGGAGGTAGCCTCGTTCTTCTGCTGTGCGTATGGCATCGTTTTCTCGTAATCGATCAAAGCGCGAGCGGGACAGCAGCGACTTTGGCGTGTCTGCCGTCCGCCCTCTCACCCAGTCAGGAATACTCAACATATTCGGGCGGACGCTCTCACCAATACATTCTGGAACAGGAATAAAATTTTTGGTTGATTATGGTCTCAAAAACAGTCAATCTCTTCTTGTCATGGTGTGCCTGGGCCAGGTTGCAGACACTAATATCCAAAACTGCACGGCAGGAAACAAAAAACCATCCCTGATCGTAGACTTGATAGTATGTCTGAGGACCATTATCTGAAGAGGTAACATACTTCATGAGAACACAGTGTTACCACTCCTTCTGTAGGGTCAAAAGTACCAGAAGCAAAGTGCGAAAAGAGTTCACCTTTGCACACGTGCGTTACCACTGTCGGCTTCTTCCTGAAGACTGGTGCCATTTTTTACCCTCAGTTCTCCTCATAGAGGCACTCAACTAAACATCTGTCACAAGCTACTAACGTGCCGCACAAAGGCAGCACAAGCGCAAGTGTCCAACAACGGTAGTTCACAGCAACCAGCTACAGTCAACTTAAATGTTGTTTGTACACAAAACAATGCCACACATTAGCGTATTTGTAAAGAAAACAAAACAATTGTGGCCCAGAATAGGGAGTTTGGTTTCCGATTCTGTGTTATCGGGAACAGGAGAAAAAAGCTACAGCCTAAGTCAACATGACGGATTCCGTTCCAACACTGCCCTGGAAACCTGACAGCTTCATCTGGCATCAGTCTCAGCGTGTGTGAATTGTGTGTGTACAACTGTGAAAAACAAACTCATTTATTCTGACGCCTGTTGTCGGCACCTTGTTGAAAGTGTTTGCACAGTACTGGGCTTCTGAGCATTGTGAACACAGTAATGTGATTTAACATGTAATTACAAGTATGAATAGCATTGCAAACTCCTAGTTATAAGGCAGTAATTGTGTGTTTCCAAACAGGAAGGATTGAAGCACTGAAATCACAGTATCTATGGAACCTGACACTGTGAGACATAACTTTGTTACCTTCAAGAAAAAACTCAGTCTTTCATTTCAACCAAGGAGGTTAAACAGTTGAGCCTCATGTTTGGCCACAGTAGAAGAGTTACTAAGCTTTCAAAATGCTTCTGCCATAATCTCCATCTATACAAAGTAAATGCCGAATTGAAATCCCACTTTGATTTCTGACTGATAATGTGGTGGATTCTATCTGTTGTTATCACTGTCACAACAGATAACTTTCACACAACAAGGAAAAGTTTACCAGCTGTACTAGTGTACCCAAGGAATATTCAATATGAATACATTCTGAAGCTCAAACATAAGGTATCTGGCACTATATCAGAGCATTGTCAACATCTTTGTTAAAGTCTATGTGGTTCACCGCTTGTTTTACACCTCAGTCCCTTCACTCACAGCAAAAAAAAGAGCAGGCCAAAAACTGACCTAATTTTAATTGCCAACAAGAGACAGAAAAGGTGACCTATAAAGGTTCAAATGGTGCAAAAGTAAACCATTTACTGGATGTAAAAAACAGCTTGATGTTTCAGTGGAAATTGAAATCGTGTTTTCTTTGTAGATTTTATAAACGACAACGTACTATAACGTATCATGAATGACCTCTAAGCTCTACAATGCGTACAGTCACAAATATTTGTACGTGAAGCGTTTGAACACTGCGGTCTTCGTGCCCTAGCTTCCTGTAACGTTGTTCCTAACTACTTAATACCGGTAATATTGCAGATGATAATGCTGTTGATCCTGTGCCTTCGTGAGTCTGAAGTTTTTAAAGAACACACAGGAGCAACATATCGCTAGTTTGCCGATCGACTACCGTATAGGAACGCGGCCGATCATCGCCAGTGTTATGGTTCGACGATCTCAAAACTTTAAAAAAGGGTAAAATGTCATTCAGAACACAGACGATGGCCCTCAAATGAATATTGACCAAAAGTGCAGTATTTTTCACCTTCACTGTTGGATTCTACGTACCTGAAATTTCGGCCTGCGTCAGAAAACTGCGCTTTTATGGATGATCTTGTTGCAGAATGTTCAGACGATCAAGTGCCGCCATCTTTGATTACATGGTTACCTAGCGACATGCACCGCATCAACACGATAAGTACTTCAAATTCTATAATACCATTTGTAAAGAACGGCAATAATTCTGGCAATCACAAAGTAGTCCAATTTTACTGATATATGATTAGACTATACTTATTATTTTAGATTGTGATATTTTCAAAGAATAAAACTTTTGTTTGTAACGGTTTGTTTTTGTACGTTGGGATGCGCTGTGACTTTCTAATCTCGTGTTTTCTCGTGTTACCAAATCTCGCGAGAACAGATGTATAAATGGCAGCCTGTTTTGAAAAACAAGTTCTGTGATTCTGAAGGTCTTGTACCAAATATTTGGTACTTGAGGGAAGTACACGTGCATTTACTAAATGGCTATTGTCTGGAGGAGTTTTGCTTGCAGCAGAGCAGAGCTGCAGCTGGATCTGACACTTGCCTGTGGCCAGTCTTTCAGGTAAACACACGTGGGGAGGGGGGCGGCGCCGGGTTAGGTAACACCAATCACCAACTTGGTCATTAAAGTCATGTATTACAAACTCCATGTACCTCCGTCTAATGCAATGTCCTGTTGATAGATAAGGACAATAGCAATGATATACCATATGTTATGCAAAAACTAATAAATTATAATAATTTGCATGCGCATAATAAATTATGTAAACAAAAACAGTGGTCCCTCGCATTACTTTTTCCCTCATGCTTTTAACATGTTACTCTCTTCCAATTCCATGGGTGCATGTTACACCATTTTGCTCTTTCCAGATGGGCAAATTCCGGTGTCATGACTGGTGTACTGGCAGGACGTGTCTGGAAACTGTCTCAAACAGACACACACATCCTCTATCACGTCATCGGACATGTGGAAGAACAAACCTCAGCATCCCGCCCGGGGAGGAAGAACCAGAAGAGGAAAAGCGGTACTCCGATTGAGACCAGCAATGCGACAGTTAAAAAGAAAATCAAATCAGAAGAAAATGCCCTAGATACAAAAGAGCAGGTCAAGATGATGACTTCAAACGCAGAAGAGACTAAAATAAAAGCAGAAAATGTAGAAGAGGTTACCATGAAGACAGAGGCAGGTTTAACAGAAGAGGATATTGAGGTCTCAATCCTGCAAGACTATTTCCAGCTGGATGTGAAGCTAACAGACCTCTACGAACAATGGTGTCAGGCTGATCCACACTTCAAACAAGTGTCGCCCAACTTTACAGGTACAGTACTAGTAGTACATTGTATTTGTCCTGGGGGTTTTCTGAATGAGGGAACAGGCTTACTTTACCCAAATATAGTCTGGGTACCATCCAGATTTTGCTCTGCTATGCTTGAATTTTTTCAAGAGTAGCGGAGCAAAATCTGGATGGTACCCAGGCTAACCCAAATACAAGTGCAGATAAGAATAGAAAAGAAACCATATGTAACAAATCTTTTGTATGGGAAGTTAAACTTTAAACATGTAACGTTAACTACCAACACAGATGAACTTCCATGATAGCACAGTTAGTTACTTCAAATGCAACTAAGTTTTCTTCTATTGTTAATTGAAGCAAACTGATGATTTTTGTTCCCTACATTCCCAAGAAATGACTGTTCCTTGTACCCCAGGGATCCGCATGTTGAGACAGGACCCAGTGGAAAACCTCTTCTCCTTCATCTGTTCCTCCAACAACCACATCTCCCGCATCAGTGGCATGGTGGAGCGCCTGTGTGAGGCGTACAGCACGCAGGTGTGCCAAATCTACGGGGAGAAGTATTACGCTTTCCCCACTGTGTCTGCTCTCGCTGGGAGAGGGGTGGAGGAAAGGCTGCGGAAACTCGGGTTCGGTTACAGGTAGGTGTTCCATTTGGGTTTACAGTATATAGACCTCATCTTTTTCTAATAGAAACATTTTAGGGATTCTAAGAGCTCCTGAGGACTCATACTCATAGCTTTCCTGACATTTGTTAAATGTTGTAACTGCATTGAAAGGTATTCCTCAAGACTAAAGACCTTTTTGTCAGCTTTTCATGTTACAGCACAAATCTATTCATAGAGTAGGTAACTTGTGACATTTTCCATAACTTACAATCACATTGCTTTCTTACAAGGACATTTGCCTTATGTTTATTCTTACCTTGTAGTACATTCTAATATTGCTCTTCATACAGGATTGCCTTTATTCCTTAACCTTTTGTCTCATACCTTTTATTCCCTCCAGAGCGCGGTACATCTCTGAGACAGCCCAGTACATTATGAAGCAGGGCGGTGAAAGCTGGCTGTATAACCTCAGGACTCTGCCGTATGAACAGGCTAAAGCTGAACTCATGAAGCTCAGTGGAGTTGGAGCAAAGGTAGGGAAAACAGACTTTGTGTACTTAATGTTAAAGTTAAAGTTGTAAACAAAAAAAATATACTTTCTCAAAAATGACTTTTTCTTTAAAGGTGTAAGCTTAGGCCCTTAGCTTAGCACTAAGTAGACCAAACTTATCTATTTCTACTACATGTAGCTGTAGAACTGCTGTGTTACATCTATCTTTTTGTTTGTTTTTTGTATTAATAAGCATTGTTCTTCCATGATTGTGTTTTTGTCAGGTAGCTGACTGTGTGTGTCTGATGTCCCTGGACAAGACAGGAGCCATCCCAGTGGACACTCATGTCTGGCAGATAGTCAACAGAGACTACAAGCACAAACTGGGCACCACGAAAACACTCACCGACAAAACCTACAAGGAAATAGGTGGGAGAATACCTGGGACTAGACTTGATAGCAAAAGTATTACAGTGGATGTCTGGAACTGTTTAATTTCAGGATGGATTTTGAACAGAACTGCAACATACATTTTTAAAACTTATAAAACTACAAGATACATTTTTCTTACATATGTGACTTTTTCCTGACTGTGTGTATTAACTTTTCAGGTGACTTCTTCAGACAGTTATGGGGACCTTATGCAGGCTGGGCTCATTCTGTAAGTCTTGGTTCCTATGTTTAGACCGTCATAGATATGTTAAACAACTCAACTACAGTCATGGTCAATTTTCTCATTCTTACATGTACATACTAAAACTGGTACATGCATATTGTTATTTATTGACACTTTGTTTGTTTGACCTTCTTCAGGTCCTATTTGCTGCTGATCTTCGTAAGTTTCAGGAGTTGAAGACTTCCCCGGAGAAAAAAGTAGACACAAAGGTAAGAGATCTTTGGAACAAGATTTATCTGTTACATTTATGCTAGTAAAGGCAAAGCATGCATACAGTATGCTCCATTTCTTAAGCATACTTTCAATCTCTTTCCCTTTTTTCAGAAGTCAGTGAAGAAGAAAAAGTCCAGGTGACATCAACACAAAGATATTACCATACAGCATACATGTGACTTCCATGTCCTACCTACCTCCAAATGTGACTTTGCAATAAAACATGTTCTGTCCAAGAAAACATTGTCTTAGTTTTGTTCAAGTACTCTGTTACCAGGTAGTTGATGTGTTTTTGTGTTTCAGTGTTTTATCAGAAACCAGCTTGAGTCAATAACTTGGTGGGTTTTTGAACTAGCCGTGATGAAGTGCTCTGAATTCATCCTGAATTTACATTGTACAACGTCTTGTAAAATCACATTCATGCAGGAATCCTTGAATTACACAAAAAATTAAGACAGCTGTGGAGACAAGCAATGTGTTTTCAAAACTTTTATTTCGTACTGTAGAAAGCCGTGTGAAATTGAAAAACATTTGTTTTTTTGACATGTATTTAGGACTCCTGTTATTTTTCAAAGTACAATATTTTTTAAGTACATGTGTTTTTTATGCTCATGTTGTTTTTTTCAAAGTACAGTAGTTTTTTTAAGTACAATGTGGAGTCTAACATGCCAAGTTTGTAGTGGTAAAACTACTAAAACTACTGCAGATGTGGAACAATAAAGAAACTAATATTCCTCCCCTTCCTCTTCTCCCTCTCCATCCATTGAGTCCATGCCAACCTGCAGAGAGGTGAAGAAAAGGTTCATTATTGAGAAAGGTACATTTCAACACATTGGAGATTAAATACTTGTTATTAGGTGCTGCTTAGAATCTTGGGTTTACTCCCAAACCTAATGAAATGTTTCTTAACGTTCAGAAAGAACTTCATCAGTAGATGTTTGAACTCTCACCTCTTCATAGTCCTTCTCCAGGGCTGCCAGGTCCTCACGTGCCTCGGAGAACTCTCCCTCCTCCATCCCCTCACCCACATACCTGGGAATTACACACAATGTGGTCATGGAATTGTATTACTGATTGGAGATATCGAAAGAAATGCTGTTGGGCGTGGGTAAGTCCTTAGTGTAGGTGCTATGTCCGAACTGTGACTTACTCCAAATGAATAGACATAAAACAATGTCCTCACATTCAGAAATAAAACAGACCAAAACATTCAGGAGTCCTTACCAGTGCACGAAGGCGCGTTTGGCGTACATCAGATCGAACTTGTGGTCCAGACGGGCCCAGGCCTCAGCGATGGCGGTGGTGTTGCTCAACATGCACACGGCACGCTGCACCTTGGCCAGGTCTCCGCCGGGCACCACGGTGGGAGGCTGGTAGTTGATGCCGACCTTGAAGCCGGTGGGGCACCAGTCGACGAACTGGATGGTGCGCTTGGTCTTGATGGTGGCGATGGCAGCGTTGACATCCTTGGGTACCACATCACCGCGGTACAGCATGCAGCAGGCCATGTACTTGCCATGACGAGGGTCACACTTCACCTGTGGGAGATATGTTATATTGTAGCAATTGATGGAACATGTTGCTGGAGAATTAGAGATTGCAGATGCCTAGCTCGTGGTGACTTGTGCTTTTAACCATGAAAAACAATGATGACTGGTCCAGCCAACTGCAATGTTGAGCATTGAACAAGTTTTCTTTTGAACAAGAGTTTCAAGTGAATGAAGGTAAACTTGTAAAATTGCATGTGGACCAAGTTACATAGATATCAAATGTTTGCAACAAGGTCAGAAACGTGCCACAAAACCTCTTTGTGCTTGTGTGGATTACTTTAAAACCTTGTGGGGAAATTAAAAAGAAACGTGACAGCACTCAATGCTTAGAAGGCAAGACCCCTTACCATCTGATTGGCTGGCTCGAAGCAGGCGTTGGTGATCTCTGCCACAGACAGCTGCTCGTGGTAGGCCTTCTCTGCCGAGATGACGGGAGCGTAGGTCACCAGCGGGAAGTGGATGCGCGGGTACGGCACAAGGTTCGTCTGGAACTCGGTCAAGTCCACGTTCAGTGCGCCGTCAAACCGCAAGGAGGCGGTGATGGACGACACGATCTGTCCGATCAGGCGGTTCAGGTTGGTGTAGGTCGGGCGCTCGATGTCCAGGTTACGGCGGCAGATGTCGTAGATGGCCTCGTTGTCGACCATGAAGGCGCAGTCGGAGTGCTCCAGGGTGGTGTGGGTGGTCAGGATGGAGTTGTAGGGTTCCACCACTGCCGTGGACACCTGAAGAATACATTGAACACGGTAAGATGCGCGCGACCACTGACTTTGATATTTTGCTGTGCGAAAGTCTGGGCAGTTCGGAGAAGCGACCTCGGCACTAGTAACATGTTACTAACACCCAGATTTATAAAAAGCAATCTATAAAGATGACGTAAAAGAAAACAAATTAAACTGATGATTTTTATTGATCTGAGAAATCTTAGTCTTAGCGCCGCCAAAGTTTTATTTGCTTTCTGTGAGCTTCATTGTAAACAAACTTTCGGAATCTGGCGGAAAACTCGCTCATGGCTCAAGATAAGATGAGTCTCTGGATAAGACATCATGAAAAAGCTGACAAAGGCCATTGTGAAGTGTCAACAAGTATCATTGAAAGCTCACCTGTGGAGCCGGATAGACGGCGAACTCCAGCTTGGACTTCTTGCCGTAGTCCACAGACAGACGCTCCATCAGCAGGGAGGCGAACCCGGACCCGGTGCCGCCGCCGAAGGAGTGGAAGATCAGGAAGCCCTGCAGGCCCGTGCACTGGTCGGCCTGGGCGGGAGAAAAATAAAGACCTTTATTGTACATTTGTGTTCTACAGAACTAAGTACAGGTCGCATGGGTACAGAACATAAACATATATACATTACATACATATGAGCATATAGGAGTGTAAATAAATGTCTAATTTCTATTCTTTTCGGCTTCATCTCGCTTAGTAGTGATTGTATGGATATATGCGGCTGTGAGATTACTTAGAGTAGGTTTATCAAAAGTTAAAAGGAATACAAATTTCTCTTTACTAGTCAAATATCTGAAGTGGGGAAATATACTTAATACATGGTTAAAAAATATGAGTCTATCTCTACTATACAAATGCTGAAAAACAAAACGTCTGCGGCTCTCATTGCAAAATACCATTCAACGCGAAGGACGATTTCCGGTCAGTACCAAGGACAGCGTCCAGAATCTCATTAAACTAGTTGTGACGGATTACATGACGAACATAGTGGAAAAGACGGGGCGCGTTCTTTCTGTTTATTGTCTTGTAGTTTGGAAACACCTGTTTTGCGATGTCCATTCAGTACCAAGGACAGCGTCCAAAATCTCACTAAATTAGTTATGACGGATTACATGACGAACATAGTGGAAAAGACGGGGCGCGTTCTTTCTGTTTATTGTCTTGTAGTTTGGAAACACCTGTTTTGCGATGTCCATTCAGTACCAAGGACAGTGTCCAAAATCTCACTAAACTTGTTACGACGGATTACATGTGGAAACATTGGAAAAGACGGAGCGCGTTGTTGCTCTCTATTTGCTGAAATCTTATTGTTATTGTTGTTGTTGTTGTTGTTGTTGTTGTTAACACCTACCAGTTTACGGATGCGGTCCAGGACCAGGTCCACGATCTCCTTGCCGATGGTGTAGTGGCCGCGGGCGTAGTTGTTGGCGGCATCCTCCTTGCCGGTGATCAGCTGCTCCGGGTGGAACAGCTGGCGGTACGTCCCCGTGCGGACTTCGTCTGAAGTGCAGGTAATGACAGAAATTCTAGATTCAATTCAATCGGAGATGTGTGTAGAGAAAATCCTAGCGGTACTTTTACTGTCCCATTTTTGGCGACGCCTTTGGGGCAGAGGCATTTGTGTAAGTACTACGATCGCTTTGAAAGAATTTCAAAAATTGCACGAATGCGTTCCCCAGGGAATTGGTTTGGAGGAAACCTTCGGCCATGTGGTTTTTGGATCAAGCAGGTAACTTACACGGGGTGCCCACTGCCACCCATCCAGATGCCTGGCATGATTAATTACTGGTCATCAGTCTTCTCCCCACACACGATGGACAGAGAGCACAGCTGTCTTTGGCCAAAGACCATATTCAAACAGGTCACAGAGAGAAAAGAAATTATCCGTCCTTTTGGAACCCACAAAAGGTAAAAAAAAGTCAAAGGAGTAACAACTTCAGACCAGACATAAAATCCAGTCTCTGGTGGAGGATAGAATGAAGTGGAGGATGGTTTTCAGTTTGGTTCTAGCGGGAACTCGACCAAAGTAAAGTAAGTAAGTATGTCATCATAAAATCTATATTGCTGGGGAAGAACGGCTGATTCCTCCTATACGTGTATTTGGTATATTGCCCCACACCTCTTCCACCCAGCCTGAAAATTTCACTACGTGCATGTCTTTATAACATAGGGAAATATGTTTTTCTGATAATTGTAATGTAGATTGCTAGCTCCACCACATGAAATAATATATATCATTCAGTCGTCGCCTTGGCAATGATTTTTATTGCCTCAGCCTTGTTTCACCTACTTCGTCTACAGATGTATCAGCATTCTTTCGTCCAAGCTGGCATATATTAAAGGACGACCTTATATGCCCTCTTTAGTAGAATGCCCTCACAATGTATGTACTGTATATCTTTCACAGGTACTAATAATCCATGTTCTCAACTGAAGTGTGTTTAGACACAACAGCTGGCGGCGGTGGCTAGGTGGTGGTTTAACGGTTCTGCGCGGTAAGTTGATAAACCGCGTGGGACAGACGACATTCCGACAGTACGCCGCGTGTGAACAAAGCTGTTCCTAGCCTCCTGTGCAGGCCTCCGGGCGGGCGGGAGTTTTGATACCGCGTTTTGTAGAATTTTTAACGCGTTCTTTTGCCACGACGGATACAAACCTTCTCTGGGCGGCTGGTTGTAGGATTGCCGACAAAAGAACGCATTAAAAATTCTACAAAACGCAGTATCAAAACTCCCACCCGCCCAGAGGCCTGCATAGGAGACTTCCATTCAGCAGTACTTGTGTTACTGGTCACCTGGATGAAACATGAGCTATAGCTGCGGGGAGATTATGAATTCCGCGGAACTAAACCGATCCTAACAACCCCTTCGGGCGGTGGGGAGATGGGATAGAACAGCTGGGATTT